CTTCCTACTCACCTGCTGCTTGGAAGTCCCCAGCTGTCAGTCTAGTGTTGCAGAGTCCTGGATGATATCTAGTCCATCTAGGAGTGGTGCCTCCTGGGGTACCCGAGGACCACAAATTGGTGGTTTTATTTCACTTGAACTGCCAGAAGTAACTTAACTCTAGCTGGATAGTACAGCTAAAAGATAATCCTCACCCAAACTGGCATAACTTTATGACATCTAGAGGGCACTTATCACTTTTTAATGAGCTTCAATATGCAATCATTTGCATGCTAAACACACTTAACATTGTAGTAATATGTAATCTCAACCTCAGAAGAATACGTATAACTGGGGACCTACCAAATTTGCAGTGGAAGTGGGGTGCATGGAAGCTCTTTTAATCTTGCAGGTTCCCCTGCATGCCCCCCTCCCCACAGATTAGCAAAGGGGCCCTGCTGCTCACAGCTGGTCACTCCCCAGTCACTCCTGATTGACGGGGAAGCAAAAACTGCAGTTTTAAATATAGCACCATTTTTACCTCCCCACTGATCAGTGGCAAACAGCAGGGCTGCTGGGGTCCCTTAGCCAATCAGTGGAGGGAGGCAAAAATGGCGCAATATTTAAAATGGAGGATTTCACCTCCTTGCCAATGAGCAGTGAGCAGAGAGTGGGTAGTAGCAAGCAGTGGGACATCTCTGCCAATAAGTGACTGGGGGGAAGAGGGGCAGTGTGCAGGGGAACATGCAAGATTAAAGGAGTGAATGCACGCCCCACTTCTGCCGTGAATTTGGTAGGTATGTATATAGAACTTACAATCCATCAGGAAAATATGATTGCAAATTATGCACCGCAAGAGCACTGCTAAATTAATTTTACCAGATTTCTTCTGTGAGTAAAACGTTTCCTTTTCCATATAATGACATTTGAAAACAATAAGAAACAGTGCATGCACAAAACTCTTCGAAATGAAAAAGAAATTAAAATGCATTATAGAGAACATATACAAATCACTGTGTCCACCAAGAAAGTTCTGAAACATCTATGATATACTTTAGGAAAGTGCTGAAACATTATTCCATTGAAACATATTATAGTTTAAATGAAATATATGTTTTAATTATATTTCAAAAAGTAGGAGAAACTGGGTACATCTATATGAGACATTTACTGTGTAGTTGACTAATTAGCTACACGGTAAATGTCACACATCTACACATGCATCCCTATAAGGCCAGAGTAGATTAATTAACTCTGCAACAGGAGTTATAAATACTTGCAAATACTTGCAATAAGCTCCAGAGTTTATTCATGCATAGTAATAGCATGTGTAGACATGCCCACTGAGTTGGGTTATAATTTATGTAGGTTAGGTCATGCTATGTCCTGATGACTTACTTGGGAAAGTATGTCACATAAATGGCAAAAAGTAACTTAGGATCCAACAGAACTGGAGAACATCAATAATTTAGATACGAAAGACCAGAATAACAGAGTAGATTTTTTGAAAAGGAAGAACAGCCTCAGAGATTTCTAAGGAATAGAGAATTACTGATATTTGACAATCAAATAAGTTTGCAAACTGGAAAAAAACTGAAGACATATCTTTCATATTGTGAGTGAGATAGTGTATCCTTATTGTTAGCTAGTTAAAAAAAATACTATCTACAGAATCAGTTTGGAACATCTAATACGTACATGCATACACACATTTTTTAACAGAGAAAGAGGTATGAAAAATACGGTAGTTTGAACAGAGGAATTGGAAACAGGAATACTGAACTCCAATTCTGACACTTTCTATTATTATTGACAGGTCACTTTTTCCTCTTGTGTTACTTAGTTGTCTGTAAAATTGGAAAAGCAATTACTTAGCACATCATTAGGACTCATTTATATATTTGTAAAATACACTGATGTGGAAAAATATTATTTCAGTGATAAATATTTGGAAATATTTTACAATATGGACAGAGGATAATTCACAGGTGATTTAAAAGGGCTACCTGTGGCTCTTTAACAAACTTCTTATTAAGAATGAAAATTAAAATAGCAACATATTGCTGTATTAAGAGAAAGTTATATTATTGGGTCCCTGGCCATATGTTTATTACACACACAATCCTGAAGCACAGAATCTTCTCTCTACCAGTCTATCAAGTCTCCTAAAAATCCACTTTTTTCATGATGCTCATAATATGCAAGTAGGTAGTACTTAAAAAAAGAGGCAAAATCCCTACTGGATTTTCAAGTGTTTTCTGTTTCTATGGGCCTGTTTTTCAGATGTGCTCACCACTAAAAACTACAGTTGAGTTAATGACAGCAGCAGATGTTTAACATCGCTCTCTGGCATATCAGGAATAAGATAGATGCTAAACAAACAACATGATATATCTTAGTAACACCACAAAGAGTCTACCCTGTAACAGAGCAGTGTAAGGAGGAAGTTTCAACAAAAACATGACATTTAAAATCACTTTCCTTTCTAGTTTTCCAATACATAACATACTAAATATGGAGAACACATCAAAGAAGTGAAAATATAGTA